TGCATGTTCAATTTTATTACTTTTGTGTTGTCACAGCAATACCTGACAGGAACAACTTTAAAAGCCAGTTGTGTTGGCGCCTACCTGCAACCCCCAACACCAGAAAGGCAGAGAAAGGAGGATGACCACAAGTTCAAGGCTTACTGAGTCCATTCAGTTCCAGCTCAGTCAGGGCTACATAGCCTAACCTTGTCTCAAATTAATGGTCAGAGTGGGAGAAAGTCTTTGCCAACTATGCATTATTAGACAGGAGATTGATATGTAGAATAAATAAAGAACCACAAAAATTAAACATTCAACTCCACCCCAACCTTCCAATCAGAAATGGGCTCATGAACTAAACAGACAGTTCTCAAAGGTAGAATCACAAAAGGAAAAAAAGGTGAAAAAATGTTCAACATCCTGAGCCACCAAAGAAATGCAAATTAAAACTGATTTGAGACCCCACCACTTCAAACCAGTCAGAATCAGAATGGCTAGCATTAAGAAAACAAACAATAGGGCTGGAGAGATGGCTCAGAGGTTAAGAGCACTGACTGCTCTTCCAAAGGTCCTGAGTTCAATTCCCAGCAACCACATGGTGGCTGACAACTATCTAATATGAGATCTGGTGCCCTCTTCTGGTGTGCAGATATACATGGAAGCAGAATGTTGTATATATAACAAATAAATAAAATCTTTAAAAATAAAAAAGAAAACAAATGAGTACAAATGCTGGCAAGGATGTAGTCGGATGTGTTGGTGGGAACGTAAACCCATGCAGCCACTGTGGAAGCACACATTCAAAGGACTCCATGCCAGCATCCCACACAGACAATGGCACATGCATGTTAAATTGCTGCCCTATTCTCCATAGCTAAGAAATGCAATCAGCACAGATGTCCATCAACAGACATGTGGGTAAAGTAATGGTGGCATTTTATTTAGCCATAAAAACAAATGAAATCAGGATATTTACAATAAAATGGACAGAGCTGAAGACTATGTTAAATAAAATAAGACAGGCCAGGTGCACACCTTTAATTCCAGCACTTGGGAAGCACAGGCAGACGGATCTCTCTAAGTTCCTGGCCAGCCTGGTCTATGAATTAGGTTATGGGACAGCCAGGACTGCTACACACAGAGAAACCCTGTCTTGAAAAAAAACAAAAACCAAAAAAAATTTAAAAAATTAAATACAACAAGACAATTTTGAGGTATCTATATTTAAACGCGCGCTCGTGTGTGTGTGTGTGTGTGTGTGTGTGTGTGTGTGTGTGTGGTGAAAATAGAAAGAAGAGGTAATGTTAACACCTGTTCCAGGAAAGCAAAGGGTGTCTGTGTAGAGAAAGGAGGAGATGGAGAAAAGGAAGGCATGGCATGGGTGAAGACCATGGAGAGAGGGCTAAGTGAGAACAAAGAGTAATGACACAAATGTATGATAATGCTAATGAAACCCATTATAAGCTAGTTTTAAAAATAATAGTTAGGGCTAGAGAGATGGCTCAGGGATTAAAAGTATGGGTGGCTCCTCCAGGAGACCCAGGTTGGATTCCCAGCACCCACATGGCAGCTCACAACTGTCTGTAATTCCTGTTTCAGGGACTCCAGTGGTGTCTTGCTTCTAAGAACAATGCACACACATGGTACACACACATACATGCAGGCAAAACACCCATCCACATAAAATAATACTTTTGTTTTTATTAGGAGAGAAAGAGAAAAGCGGAGGAAGTAGTTCCAGTGTGGCTGGCAGTTATGTGACATCGTCGTGGAGCAACATTTCTTTCATTTTACATTTTGTCATTCTGAGAAGTGATGTTATCTTACAGTTCAATAGGGTAAATGGAATGCCTAAAATTGTGAATGACTTTCAGGAGAGAAGGAAGAGGAAAAATGAAATGCTCCCAACCAAGCTAGCTTCATTAAGAGCTCTCTTCCAGTGGAAGAAAGGAACAGGGTGGAAGAGAGGGGAGTGGAGGGGGTGAAAGAAGGAAGGGTGAATTAGTTGCTTACTTTTAAGGTTTTCTAAATTTCAGACTGCAACAGTATTATCACATGGGGAAGATCCATGACATTCTAATAGCAAAACAGCAAGGTATGAATTTGTATTTAAAAATTGAAGGGACCAGCTCCCCATTTCGGCAGCCATAACATCCGAAACACGTACTTGCCATGACCTTGCCTTGGTCACTAGATCAGATGCATGCCTCCTGGCAAGGAACCAATCAGAAGTTAGCTGGTGGCACTATGCTTTACGGCTCTGGGTGTGCTTTACGGACAAGTGCACAGCAATGACGTGCAGAGTATAGCAACCACCCTGGGATGGCCTCTGGGCCATAACCACCAGTTGACCAATCAACACAGGACAAGCCTGGAGGCACACCAATCCTGAGCCTGTGCGTACCCCCAGACACTCCCCTTACGCTGCCCTATAAAATCTCTATGCAGATGCTTCGAGCTGTCTTTCCTAGCCATCCACCATGGCAGATGGATGAAAGACCCGAGCTAACATGGAGATTCTGGGGGCCTGAGCTCCCGGGGGTCTTTCAAAATATTTTAACTAAAGTTCTTGCTGAGTGATGGGGTCATATGTGATCATTATCTTCTTGTCTATACTGTATACATTTCTCTAAGAGTTATGTAATGCTTGTGTAAATGCATGGGGAGCAGAGTGAATGTTCATTTAAATTTTAAACCTGTACCCAAAGGTTAAGTAATATATGGTTCTACAACGGGGTGTGGTGATTCACTTGGAAAGCTGAGCCAGAGGACTGCCTTCAGTTCAAGGCCAGCCTAGCTTGATACTATGTGAGACACTGTCACAAAAATCTAAACACACACATACACACACACACACACACACACACACACACACACACACCTATGCATATAATGTACCTATGGCAACAAATTCACAGAGAAAAGAAAACAGTGGTTGCTATAGGGAGTTATTGTTTAATGATTAAAAGTTCAGTTTTGCAAGATGAGAAGCATTCTTGATATGGAAAGTAGCACAATGTGGATGTACTTAGTACACTCATACTATGCATTTAAAAATGGATGCTGTAATAAATTTGGGCTAGATACAGTGGAACATGCCCAGCTACTAGGGAAACATTTTACCACATTTTAAAAACTACTTATTTCAATTTTGTTCACTTGTAAGTACAACTGGTTCTAAGAGTATCTCACAACTGACGGGTGACAGGAGTGAAAGAACCCCACCGTTGATCTTGGGCCACATGGCACTGAGCAACAGAACTCATTGTGCCCACCAGTACTAAAGCGTGCACTAGAATGCACGTGTGTCTAGCCACAGAATTTCCTGGTTCCCCAGGCTGAGAGATGCTCTCAAGTTTCCCTTCCCACAGAAAAGACCATTCTTCCTCTCTTACCACAATATTCTCAGTTTGACTCTCCAAAAAAAGGGAACCCAGAAGCAAGGATTCTCTCAGTGTCTGACTACACTGGCTGCAGGGATAAGCTCAGGCAAAACTCGTGGCTACACCTTCATGGGCCAAAGAGTCATGCACTTCCTGCCACCAAATCCTTGAGGGGTACCTGGTGGAGCCAGGTAAAGGGCTCTTATATAAAAGTCAAGAACTAGACTTGGCAAGCAAAACTCCCTTCTTCCTTCACTAATGGGGGGGCTCTTAGTATTTTACAACTGAGAGGGAGTAAACCTGATTCCTAGGCTGAGACCCCACAACCCTAAGGCTGCAGAAACATGGCCCCAAAGCTGAACCTGGCCAGCAGATGTATTGACCTGCTTCTGTGGACTTTCTTGCATTTTGACTTTCTGTGGCATTCACAAAATCAGCTGCCAACATTTAAAAAGAGAGGTGTTTATATACAGGAAGACATATTTTCTGATTCTCTTGGGATAAAAATTATCAAGAGACATGATGTCAGCTATTATGATGACTTCACTTGATTGTGTACTTGAATGGATTGAGAATGCCTGGAGATTAGGAGAGCGTGGCTCTGGTGTGTCGGTCTGATGTCAGAACATGAGGACTCAGACCTATTCACGTGATGAACCCTTGATATGGCCGTCATGCGATGGTATCAATGGGAAATGACAGGATGAACAGAAGCTTTCCTGGAAGAGGTAGATTTCCCTGTCTGCACCCTTGCAGGTATCTTGCCCTGGCCCCTTTCCTGTATCCACCCCTTTTCTGCTCCCTTTATGCAACAGGCTGAATAGCTCTTCCCTGCCACATGCTTCTGCCACACAGAACCATGCCGTCACAATAGGAACCCCCTGAAACTGTGAGCTCAAATAAACCTTTTGTTCTTCAGGTTGTTTCTGTTAGGTATTTGGTCCCAGTGATGATGAAAGCAACTGTTCAGGCACTCTGAGTTTACAGCAACCTTTGGGCTGGTGACTGGTTGGGAGAGAGGAGCAGCTATCATTTTAGAGTGGGCCCATTCTCCCTGCTCTGCTTCCATGTGGCCCTGCTACTCCTTGGGTTGGAGCCCATAACTGAACTGGAGGCTGCTGGTGAAGATCATGTGGTACTTGGAAGCAGGACAGCTAGGCTTTCTGCTGTTCTTGCAAATACTGGATGCAGGTCAGCTTGTGATTTGACAGTTACAGTTAGTGGCCTTCATGGGATGGCCTTGTGTGAACTCTTAATCTCACCCAGTCACAGACAGAGCTCCCTTTCCCGCCATGTTTCCAGACTCCATTGAAGCACAATGTCTAACCCACTTTCCTAGTAGAAAACTTTAAAAAGGAGGCCGTGGTCTTGATCAGCGGTCATAGGCCGTAACTTCTGTCCCCAACACTGCCTACTTCAGAGGAAGGAGCCAGAACCACACTTAGCACACCATGGTATAGTGCTTTTCTTCTGGTCCTACGGTGGAAAACAGAGGCCAGGAAGCACCCAGCCACCTAAACATACCGGAGCCAGAGGGAGAGTATCTAAAAGGTCACAGGTATAGCGCAAAAGAGAAATGTTTTAAGTCTTCAGGGTTAAGAGAACCGGGAGAGACAAAGGCAGCACTTTTCTTACCTGCTGTAGGCACACTAATGTTATACTGAGGTAAAATAAATAGAAAGGCAGTCTTGGCTGTGACCTGGAAAACAAAGGAGAAAAGTTCCTGTTTACTTTCTTGGCCACATCAAAAGGAACAGGAAGAGGCTGTTCCCTGCCCTGGAGACCATATCTTTACATCAGTACTCACCCCCACTCCAGGATGCAGAGTTTTCGTTCACCTACCCCACAGTTAGCAACAGTTTTGAGCCACCCCTCCTCAGTACTTGCACTAAAAAGCAAAGCAATCCTGGGTCCCGAATGATGGCTACAATTGTGTTCACTGCAGGCAGAATGAAGCAAGCTGTATTGACGACAGACAGCACAAATCGTTCAGCCGTTCACTCGTTTATGTATTGATTAGTTCTGGCACCCAGTTCTGTGGAAGGTCACAGCTTTTAAAGGCTCCGAAGCAGACTTCCCGGGCGTTTCACTGGCCTGCACACTGGACAGCAGCCCTGACATTTTAAACTCAAGCTTCAGAAACAGTGGACTCCAGCTGTTAATTTCACATTCACCCTTCTGCTGAACGGGGAACGGCCCTCTCAAACCCCACAATACTGGTTTGTTTTTTTGTGAAAGCTATCTTTAGATGACTGTGGTCCCAATCTGGTTATTAATAGTCAAATCAGTACTGGGACTGTTTACAGCAGGGGTGAGATGACCAAATGTGGAGGTTTGAAGCTGAGATGCAGAAATTGACTGTCTATGTCCAAATGCTGACTCTGCTAGCTATGTAACCACGAGGCAGTCATTCCACACCCTGAACCAAATCCCTTGTCTATAAAGTCATGGGTATGTGTAGTTCCCCATCTGTATACTACAGACCCCGGTGGCAACGATCTCTACTGGCATTGCTTCAAATTCCACAGATGTACACTCAGGACCAAGAAGCACTCTGCAACACATACACAAGGTCAGGGGAAAAGAAGTCACTTCCCCAGAGGCTCCGAAGATACTTCCTCAGCCAGGGGTTATGGGTTCTCCTTCAACTTGGAGTGCAGAAAAATGTATGTAGGGAGTGGGGTGGGGAGGTGGGGGATACACCAGGCCATGGCCACGTCAGTGTGGCAACAAGTGAAGGATGCTTCCTGGACATGCCAGGGACAGGTGACTGCCCATAGCCTATCCTACGGGGTCAACCCTCTCCTTTGAGGAGAAAAGGACTCGTTGTTACTCTGTATAGGTATCACTTATTTCTTATAGGTAGCTATGTACAAAGTCTCCATACATCTGTGTTCATGCCTTATGTGTGCTCTATCAAGTCTGTAGGGAAAGAACAAATAAGATTAGGCATGAGAAGGTGCTCTTCCCCACTCCCCCACCCCTGAAAGTGATTCCTTTGGTCCTTAAGACCGTGTTTTACATTCCTGACCTCCCTCCAACTGGCTGCTTTTTCCTTACAATAATGAGCTTGGCCCAAACCAAGACTCTACTTATAGATTCCTCTTGCTCTGCTACTCCCCACTGATAGGGAAGGTCCTTCTGTGTATATGGTTGTCTTATTGGTTGATAAATAAAGTACTGTGGCCAATAGGGAAATAAGTTAGGTGGGACAAGGAGGGAAGGAGGATTGTGGGAAATGGAGGAAAGGGGAGAGTCACCATGTGATCCCAGGAAAAGAGGACACATAAGGCCAGTGTCCTTGGTAAGATAAGTCCCTATAAAAATATATAGATTAGTAGTTATGGTTGGCAATTAAGACTGAACTAGCATCTGGGCAGTGGTGGCGCACGCCTTTAATCCCAGCTCTTGGGAGGCAGAGGCAGGCAGATCTCTGTGAGTTTGAGACCAGCCTGGTCTACAAGAGCTAGTTCCAGGACAGCCTCCAAAGCCCCAGAGAAACCCTGTCTTGAAAAAACCA